TTAAATAAACTTATTAAATTTATATAAATAGTTTATAATTCATTTTTGAATATTATGATTAAAAAGAAAAATTTACATTATTGTTTTCAATATTTCATGTTATTTGCATTTATAAATTAATCAAATAACCTGCTTTTCTGTCTTTGCAATTTATGAAGATTGAAATAAATCAACTTTTATATTAAACAAATTGGTTTTTGTTGTTTTTCAATACGGCGTACCTTTTTGATCGTTTCAATTTGACAGGCTATTCTACGTTGAAAATGACATAAAAAAAGTTTACTTCATAATTGTTCAAGAACGTTATCGTAAAGAAAAAAAATAATTTCGGAAAAAACCACCTGTTTTTAATGATTATTATAAATATTATGAGTGTTATTTTTTCCGATTAAAGTCCCTATATGTCTGTAATGTAACCGTTTTTGAGAAAAAAGTTTAGATTTATTCAAAAACCAAAATAGGTAGAGGTCTAAAATTTTCAGGATTAACTATCTCATTAGTTCCAATATACTCTCAAAAAATAATCCAAATATCCCTCTGGGGCCGATTCACTATGCCTATTGTCCTATGGCCTTTGTTTTAAACTAATCAATTCGAAAATTGTGAAAATTCTAAGGAATTAGTACCATTAGACGCCCTTATATATATGCTACTAAATACCTAGTAAAAAAGTATGCAAACCTGTATTTTGTTTAAAGATTAATATATATACCTGAAAAGACTATGCAAAATAAAAGCTCGTCATTTATACTAAGTATAAGAATAATTGAAACTCTAATTTGCATGCAGAAAAAAATTCAGCTTAAAGGGCCGATTATTTGACAATTTCAAACGAATGTACGCGAAACTTGTATTCGCGAAGTGAAAAATGTTGTTTGGAGAAGTTATTTTTCTCGAATTTGTACACTGCCACTGTTTTGATCTTTATTAACAAAAATTGTAAAACTTGAAAAAAATCCGCGACGACATATAACTATAGGTTAATTCACAAATTAATAAAAATGCCAAATGGGCGAAGCCGCGTAAACGGCAAAAAGCAGATATTGATTCTGGTATTGCTAATCTGGGCATTGCTATTTATTCATACATAAATTTCGTTGAATTTAAATCTAACTTTATTTAAAAATAAAATTTTCACACGTAGGCGTAGCAACAATTTTTTTCCTACGTACAGCAGATTTTCAGCTTTAATGTGTTTCGTTTGTATGTTTTTAAAGTCAGGGCCTTTTCCAGGGGTGAGGGGTGAGCTTGCTAGGGGAGGGGCAGTGCCCCCTTACTACTCCTACCTATCTGCACCCATGCTTTTACGTGAGAATGTGATAATTTTCCCAAATACAGGAAAAATGCTTTTCTTATAATTAATTTATGGCAACTACAACTATTTGGTATGATCATATTAATTTTTAAATTCTGAGAATATTTTCCATTGCATGAGCATATCTAATAAAGTATTTTTTTGTATAGGTAATAGTTTACTAGAAACTACTACACATTTTTATCTCGGAAAATAGCGTTATTTGCAGATTATGCAAAAGTAATAAACGTAAAAATTGTTCGAATGAATATCTTTATTAGATTTTGAGTAAAAAAGTCTTTATCACAAATCATTTACAATTTCTTTACATTGTTGTCGCACATTTATAAGACGCATTGAGTAGAAATTGTGATGTAACTTAAAACAAAGTAGCGATGAAGTAAAGAATATACGGATACGGAAGGTATAGTTTATGGAAGAGTGAAGAAAAAGAAACTAAAAATTAGGTAAGTAATGACAGTTTGTCACATTTCTTCTGCAATCTTTTTACACTCTGTACAACAGGGCTTAAACTGGAGAAACAATCCAGGTGAAAAACTACACATAATAACTTTAGTCGTCCTTGGACCAAAAGATGTGAATTAGGCACTTATTTGAATGCTGACGTGGGTCGGAAACTTGTGCAGCTTCTTTAGAGCAGCTGCCAGTTGGTGACAGTTGCTATAATTGCGGCTGGAGCAGATCGTTATTCTGAGCGTTTATTCTTCTGTGCTCCTGCTGCATCAAATGGTGGGCAGCTCGGTCCATTTCTTCTTGGGTCATGTTTAGTGCTTCCTGCATCTCTTTTGACGTATATCTGACGAATTCTGGGTCGCAGTATTTACCTAAACCTTGTTCGGCCAATACTCGACCTACTAGGCTTTCCGCAGAACCAACCACCTCGAATAGCGTGGGCTTTCGGTCAGCAGGACTTCCGGGAAGTGAGTGCGACAGACGTTCAGTTCCTGCGTGACCATTCGGTTCACTCATGGGCGCTGGAAGTAGACATATTAGTAACATTCCTATAGATTATAACAGGACGAACGAAATATCGGTTCAGTAGATTTAAGAATACACCTATTTTTTTTATATAACAGTTATTTGATTGTCAACGTCTTTAATAGTGAGTATACTGCATTGAATTTTGTCAAATTTTTACAGAGTGAAACATTTTCTGAAATTTGGTTCATTTAAATGTTGGTTTTATGTAAAATTATATAAAAATTGTAATATGGTATTTTGAAAATGATCCACTTGCCGTTTGACGTGCTATAACTTCTGAAACATTCATTTAGACAGTTCAAATAGCCAAAACGGCAAATTTTCAATTTACTGTAGAATAAAACAAATTCTACTGCCAATGATTGCGAAAGCCTTAACCAAATATATTATTAACTGTTTCTTATAGTATCTATTTTATATACCCATTATCATTTAATTTGTTAGTAGTACGGTTAGTCTATTCATTGAAAAGATATCCATTAGTTATGAATAAACATCAAAAAATTGTTTCATATAAAACTAAGTTGCTAATATCTGTTATATAAGTAAAGCTTAATAATTCTCACTTGAGTTCTTACACATCAGTGCAATAAATGTTAAGTGTTTTTATTGGAAGAATAAGACATCAGAGTTAGAATACTAGTGATGTAGATTACGTAAATATGCAAACTACCGTCAAATATTTATACTGTATTCTCAAAGTACCTTCTTTGCGATTTTATATTACGTACGTACTTTTGTTATCGATTCAAGGAATGTTTGTGCACAAGTATAAAATTTAGGTTGCATATTTACGAGCCGTAAGTGAATTTTATTGAGCACAAAATAGGGTATTTTTGGAATCTTCGAAACATTCTGCTTTTCATAAGTGTTGATTATTTTTATGCAGATAGTTTTCTATTCGATTGTTCTTAAAAATCACACTGATGAATTAAGAATCGAAAAAGAAAAAGCCAGCACAAGCCCATGCATAAAAAGTATTAGTCCAAGCATGTGGAGGCTCTTGCTGCTGCACCTTATGCAAACGAGAATGGTGGTGAAGTTGTAGCCACGAAAGAATCTGTTTGTGGCAACGAAAATTTTGATTTACAGCTGAAACGTATTGATAATTGATACAATTATGTTTACTTACTACTTTTGTACAATTCAAGTAAATTTTTGGATTTGTTTTTGCAAAGATATTATTGCGTCATTTATGAACCGTACTTCTTTTTTCTGTGAGACGAAATAAGCCCATATCTAATTCGAAGACACGTTGGTATTGATTAATCATCATAGTTATCAGTGGCGGATCCACGGGGGATTTATTTACTAGAATTTATCAATTTTTTAGTGATATATTCTGCTTAAGACCATTATTTCAAAATTACTACAAAAAATAATCTCTAAAATAACGCATATTGATCAAAGACCTACACAGAATTGTTTCGATTCAGACATTCTTGTGAGCCCCTAATTAAAATCCTGGATCCGCTCCTGATAACAATATTTACAGGATTTTAAATGTGAAAAACTAAATTGATATTTTTGCAATTACTAAAAAACAATTATGATCAAAAATTTGAAGGTATCTGTTACTGAATCTGTGTTCACGTTTATTCGTTCAATTTGTTCTTGGTCGGCATTATGTTTAAACTATGTACTACCAAACGTTGAGCGCGATCTCGAACTTGTTGATTCCATCAGTACGTCACATTACCCAAATCGAAGCTGTTGGTTTCAAAGAAATTAATAAATAATCATAGAAAGGCAATAATTCGATATCTGTGGAGATTGGTTACCAATTGAAAATTAATTAACTTTTAATTCATTTTTAACCAGGAGCTTCGAAAGTACCTAAAAATTTGCATGCTGATACTAATTAGTAGTAAATCTTCACAGATAACGTAAAAATTTTCTTGAATGGGAAGAATAATTGGTTCGGACTTTATACATAATAGCGCAGGTGTACATTAACGGGACTAAAGTTAAGTACCTATTTGTATTTTGTAGCGAATTTTAAACAGACTGCTTAACTATATGTTAAGTTAAACTTTTCACACTTCAGTTCGTTTATAAAATGAACTAATTTTCTAATTTAATTTTTGTAAACTGAAACCAAATTTTTTACATGTGTGATTAATACTATTCATACCTACGGTGTATCAGAACATTAAGCAATATGTTTTTTTTTCGATCTGATTTTAAGTCATTATTAGTGAATTAAATAGTATGATGTTCCGAACTGAAATTAAACATTAAAAAAAATGTCCTACGCAGCATACAACAGAATGTGGTGCACTTACACATAAAATCCTGATACAGATGTGTTACTATTTCTTGTAAGCATTTATAAAACAAGTTGAGTCTTGTCCTTTGTTTATTGCTCAATTGCAATCGTTTCTCCATGCTTAGCAGACGGCATTTTTAGTGCGCTTCGTATCATTGCAAGCGGCTGAATTTAGCGACACAAGACATAACCTGTTTATTCATAATCCCAAACCCACGGGAGGCTCAAAACTCCATAGATTAGTCTAAGTTTATGTTGGATTTTAACATAATATTTACTGTTGTATGCTGCTTTAATTCTAATCTTCATACTTATAGATTTACTTGAGAATGAGCTTTTGCTTATAATGTAAAATATTAAACGAACTGATGCGATAATAAAAAAGAAAATTAGGATAAAAATGTAGGTAATATTTGTTTTGTATGAATGACTCTTTCGTGGCAGAACTTAATCTGGAATGGCTAACCTCTGCCATGAAAGGAAGCTCTGTGATTAAGGTTGCAGTTGTAGCGGGCATGCCTGACGCCTCCATCCGTCTCAGTGGGCTGCTCGAGCGAACAAGGCCAGTGCGTCTTGGGCAAGAAACCTGCAACTGCCATGGCTTGTGCTTGTGCAAGTTTCAGACCAGACGCAATACGAATAAAGCTGGGGGCGCGCCGCATGGACGCCGCTGGCGAGGAGGGCATGCAACCCCCGCCCCCGAGGCTAAGCCGCACACGCCGCGGTGGCGGCGTCGGAGGCAGCAGCTCGGTATGGTCGCCCTGCAGACTGGCATAAATAAAACAATCACCACAAATAATCGGTTAATTTGAAAACAATAGAAAAGAAAAAAAAATAATTAAAAACCAAACCATCAGGCAAACGCACACACCCACTTACGCTTACCGTTGTAGTGGGGGTGTAGAAAGCCATATTTACTGAAATTTAAAGTTAACATGTTAAATTCCTATTAACAATTTTTACCCTTTTTGATTATAATTGTCTGGCTGTCCATACAATTCGTATGCAATAAGAGAGTAGTGCCAATAGGCCACGTGAAGATGATATAGTGTCTAGCATGACAATAGCTCATAAGGAGGGCAAGGGTTCAAGACAAACGAGATACCACGTTTGACATTAAACACACTTTCTTTGTAGATATTTTTCTTTGAAATAATAGTTTCACTTGATATAATTTGTATTATTAAATTCTTTAATGCTTATGCGGAGAGGGTGTGGAATATCACAAGATAATAGAAGGATAAAGTTTAAAAAAAATATTTGACAATAAAGTACCAAAATGTCTTAATTTTGTGTAAACTGTGCCTTTATTTAAAGTTAAAATAATTTATGTACTGTTTTAGTTTATTTGGGAGATCTCTACATTGGCGTACTAGGAGGAGTATAGCAAAAAAATTATTGGTAAATAATATTATAGATGAAAGTCGATCGATGTGTCTTCATTCTCATATGCATTTGCGAGATTATGAACGTCGTATTGCGTATGGAGCATGCCTTGAGTTAACGCATGCCTGATAAAGTATTTATACGGACGCATTACCTTGTAACCATAACCTTGTTTGGTGGTTTACGCCAGATTATGGTCCTAGACCAACTTATAGTTACGCCAATGCATTTGTTACACGATTCTCATACTTGGTACCTACATACATTTGGTATTTAAGAATTCGTACATTCGCACGTTTACTTGACGATAAGTGTTAACAATGATAAATGTTTGGGTCAGCAATTTTTTAATTCCGAATAAAAGCAATTGTCCGTACTTTGGTTACGCCGAAACGTAATGTGACTTTTATAACGATTATTTCAATTGTCAAATAATTATAAGAGCATTGTCATCTCCTAGACAATTGTTTCTAGGTACTCATTTATTTTCGAAAACGTGCATGAATTCACTATTCAATAATTATCGGTTAATTTAAGAAGCTGGTGATTATTGGTTTTTATTTTATGCTCAAATTTATCTGTGGGCAAAATAGTATTGAAATGGCATCGGAGTAGAGGTGAAAAGTTGCACCTATTTAAATTTTAAATCGTCACGTATTTATGATTGTATAATTACTTTTTGAAATCCTATCGAATTAAATCAGTTAATACTTTTTTGTACAGCCAGTATGGAAAAATGTTTGGTATAAATGTGTGTTTTCGATAGCATACGTTGTTATGTAAGTAATTTTCGAAAACAACGATTACACCACGTTCGTGATTGTATTATATATTGAAATCATCACGAACAAAGGCAATAAAAATTATTTTGTGACTAACGGTTTAACCTGGCTAATTAACACTAAAATATCCTTAATGATAACTCTGGTATAATGTGTTGAAACAGCGTTTGGTGAATACTTGATGGTAATTAATAAACTAAACTAATTGTTGAAACATTATTCTTTAGCTACTCCTTGCATAGTGAAGTTATATAAATAATTTTTTTATTAAACATTGGAACCATTTGGAGGTTACCTACTTTGTTATAGTTTTTTACAATTAATAAATAAACATCACTTTAACATCGTTTAATAAGTGTCACATTTATTTAAAACAAAATTGACAAACCTATACCTTTTCCAGCGATTATGATCAAAAATCAAAAAGTTACCTATGTGTTTTAAATGTATGAATTTAGTTAATTGCTTAGGTAAATTATTTCCGAAGGAAATAACAATATAACAATTGAAAGTTCTGCAGAGTAGCTAGTGATAAAATGCTTTTTCTGTCAATATATCTTATAGTTTTCGGTTACATATGTTTTTAGAGGCCAAAAATTGTTATTGGTTATTGTTTTGAAAGTCTAATTTAATGTAATTGACATCTTTTAGAAAGTCGAAAAATATTTAAAATACGTACAATTTCTTTTTTAACTTATTAGTCAACATACCGTCAGTCACAAAACAAAATTTTTAGGTTATTAATCAATACCGATTACTGATACTAACATAACTTACCTCCATAATTAAATTACTATCTAAATATGCTGTTAATTTACCGAATAGCGAAATTGCGATGTTTTTGGTAAAATATCTAGCTGTATTTAGTGACAATATTTTTGAAGGTACTAAGTAGATGATTATTTCAATACAAAAGATCGTGATCATGACTTATTAAGTCTCGTTTAGTTGGCAGAAGCCATGCTTTGACTAAATACTAATTAAATAGATAGGTTCCAAAGAAATATTTTAGCATTATGAAAAAATATATATATACCTATATACAGAAGCGCAGACAATTGTATAATATGCATACACTTAATTACAGCAATCACAGAACAACAAAAAAGTTTAATAACAACCTCAAGTATGATAAAAAGTTTCGACAAAAGTCAAGTTTATTCGATCAGGATTGCCAACTATGAGAGAAGAACGTAAAGATGAGAACTCCATGTCCACATAATATTATATAACTTTTAAATACTACTATGCAGAGACATAACTGCAGTATCGAGGGCCCTGATGTAAAATGATTTGGAAAACTTATGATAATCTGCTGTTTGGTATAATTTCTATTAGAGTACTTGTACGTGACTGAACTGTCAATTTCGGTTAAGCAGCGGTCGAAGATCCCTTGAAACTCTGGTACCTATAGTACATTGTCCTATTGCAGTTATACCTTCGCTAGTAAGTATTAATGATAAATAGTGATTTGTTAATTAACAATAAAATTTGAAGAGCTATTGTCGATTATTGTATTCGAAATTGATTTCTGTATATAATAAAAAACACGAGACTAAGGAATAAAATTATTAATTTATAAAATTTTAAATAAAAGTTTCACACCTACTATGCCGCTGAAATGCAGTAACGGAAAATCGTGAATAACTACAAAACTTTCGCTATTGTTTTTCCTTGAAATTTTGATTCCCTTTACGTAAACTACTGGCTGTATTTTTTTCTTATTTTACCAAGTCTTATTTTTATTTCGTTGAAAATATTCTTCCTGTTCGAACAAACTAGTAACTTAGTTATGGAGGTAAGCGGTCTAGTTGGCATTGCTTAAAGAGAGAAATGGAAAACGTATAATAAAAATTCATGAAAAAAGACTCACTCGATCACTTCAAAGGTTTTCTTGTCTCCGCTTCCATAAAATTTATTAAAAGATTTTAAAGGTATTGCCTCCTCGTCCCCCAAGCCTTCTTGATTGTGTAAAGACGTGACACTTGCTCTTGTTTGCAGAACGGCATTTCTGTTCGCATAATGTACATGGTTCGCTCCATCAGTTACAGGTTTCTGATTATATGGGAGATAATCGGAACTAGGAGTAGGAGAGATTTTGATTTGGGCGGAATTTACTTTAAGAGACTTTGCTCTACTGAAACTGTGTCCACGACGCATTGACGACCAAACGCTTCCAAATAAAGAGTGGTTTCTCTAAAAAAGTTGCCAAATGTTTACAAACATTTATAAATATCATCTTTTAAGGCGAAACTTCTTCTGTAGTCCTAAAACTAACCTGCGTTACGCGTCACTCGCCACATTAGTTGTGTGCGGTGATGGTAGGTCCTTGTATGTATAATTGATAAAATACAATTTGAACTTACTACAAAAGAAGTTCCCCATCTGTTATGTATACTGAGTTGCATACAATTCTTGTTTTTATATATTTCTATATCTTACTCTGTGCATTGGCTCTGGATTGTCATCTATCAACTCGTCTAGGTTCCCTGAGATAGCTCGTTTGAGTTCTGGACCTGCTTCATGCAAAGTTCTTAAACCAGCCTGGAGAGTGACGGTGTTGTGACATTCCTTATCGCCTTGTTCTTTCATTTCTTGTTCCTTTCTCTTTTTAAATCTTCTAAAGTAATCTTGAATGAGAAAGGTTGCATAGAACTTCCCAACGGTTACCTCGTCATCGACTCCAGGTGGAGGTACTACTTGATCCAGCAACTGAGGGCTCGTTCTTTTCCATATCTTCTTAATAACCGCTCGAAGTTCTGCATTCGCTTCGTCTATATTTCCTTCCGTTTTTATGCGAAGGGAAGTTCGAACTACAGCAAACAAAGTGGCATTAAATAGTACGGTTCCGTCACTATTAAGGGGCATATTCATTGAAACCAGTCTTTTACAAGCTACGCGGTGTGGACACAGTTTGCCGAAACCAAGCGGCGGTGAGATTTTTCTCAGGAGTGTAACAACGTCCAGATGTTTTATTCTTCCTTTTGCGTCGGGATCGTACTCACTCCACAGGCGTATAAACTCTTCCAAGTGGTGTGGTCCTAGGATGGACCAGTCTCTTGTTAAGTAATCGAAATTGTCCATAATGACAGCAACAAACAGATTTATGATCTGAAATAATATTTAATGAGATAATCAAAATTATTAAGGTATAGGAGTATCTTACAAGAAAAGAGCAGAGCACATAAAACGAAATGAAATAAGGGTAGGCTATGTCAGAGCCACAGTCTGTATCTTGAACTCGTGAATCGCATTCGACGTAGTCGTTATCGGCGCAGTCCATCATAATATCCTGCCACGACTCCCCTAAAAAAAATTTTAACGAGTTTCCATTATTAATTTATTTGCAATTAATCGTTTACCGGTAGCAGATCGAAATAGCACAAGTACTGCTTGAAAAAATGAAGCGAAGTTGTTATTTCTTGTGATGGAAGAACCAGAAGTGCTACTGGATATTTTTCCAAACATCTGGAAATAAACTTATGAGGATTCGACCAGTAACAAGTAAATTGATATATCTTGTACCTGCATCCCAATAACAGCATATATAAAAAACAACATGACAATTAACAAAGCTACGTAGGGTAGGGCTTGAAACGATTTCAAGAAGGTCCATAATAAAGTTCTTATTCCTTCCCCTCTGCTTAACAATTTAACAAGTCTCATAACTCGGAATAATCGGAAAAAATTGATGGAGATAAGACTTGAACCAGGCTTAAAGAAGATAATAATTTTGAAAGTATCTGTTCTGATGAGAGACAATTTTACTATAACTTACGTTTACTTCAGAGTAAACTATGTCAATGAAACTTCCCAAAACTATTACAAAATCAAACACGTTCCAAGCATCACCAAAGTAATTCTGCAAAAAAAAAGTAACGAAATAATGACACAGGAAACTAGACACAAAAAGAAGACTTACTTTGAATCTAAATGCAGCTAATTTGAAAACGAATTCTAAAGCAAATGCCGATGTAAAGATCATGTTTAGAATATCGAGAGCTTCCGAATAAAGATAAGGTTGTCTGTGAAATTTCATAGCTAGCGTTATGGTATTGATCAGAATTAAAATAAAAATTGTATATTCAAAAGGTCTTGAGGTAACGAACCACCAAACCTTGTACTGTATGCGATGTTTCGGAATGTACCTTCTAACTGGTTTCGCTTTTAAAGCAAATTCTATGCAGTTTCGCTGGTTCTTATCTAGCTCACAGTTTTTGTACTCTTGTTCACCTTCGTTTTGGAATGTAACAATAACGAAACCGACGAAGATATTAACCATAAAAAAAGCTATTATTATTATGTAAATAATGTAATATGCTGCTACTATGGGGCGGTAGTTATGTATTGGTCCACGGTTTTCTTCGTTTGAGTCTATTGAAACGTACAGTAAGCCAGGCCATCCTTCAAATGTTGATACTGTAAACAATGTCAGCATAGCTTTAGCCACGTTGTCAAAATGAAATCTGTTGTTCTGCCATTCTCTGTTGTTCATTTCCGGTTTGTTTATGTCGCCGTCCTTATAAACAATATAAGTACCGCTGAAAACAATGGGTCTCTTTACTATATCTCACGTTAAAAAAACTACTTAGGAGAATGCCATTACACTGTTTGATTTTAAATATTCAAACCAATTTGGAGGAGCAATTTGAAAAGAGGAATTTAAGAACAATGTTGAAATGCATCTATATCATCGTAGGAATAACTTTGGATACAAAAGTATGATGATGTAGTCTAAGCTTTCGTCAAGTACTGCTCTCTTCTATCGTAGAAAAAGGAGTGGGGGTATTAAAGAGGATATTTTTAAATAAAACTTTCTCACTTTTACTGTTTTGTATTTTAAATATAATATATGTACTCTATACCACCAGTAAAGTATATAATTCAAGGCATTCTACACCGGCAGAAAATAAGGTAAAGCATAAAATGAAGACTCATTTGCCATAACAATATTGATAATTATGCTGGAAACAAATTCGAAGGAGCCGCAGAAAGTTATGTAGTTTGGGATATTTCATGTAAAGCCTTAACCAAAGAAGAAATTTACAATAATAAAAAATTAATTACTTTAAAAAAAAACATTCTAAACTTCTTCAAATATGAAGACTTTACATGAGCATTTCCTAATCTACTTAGTTATTTATTTAATTTCCTGTCGGTATTTTATTGAATTCCTAGTAATTCCGTGCGATTCTGAATTATATACATTGTCAGCTATTATATACGTTTACGTCTCTATCTACAACCATTCAAACAATTTTGGAGAATTTCCTATCAATTTTATGTTCTAAAGTTGTAACGTAAGCTACTGAAGTTAATTTTATAAAACAAAGCAAATATACGTGATTTTTGTGCTTTTCTGTTGGCTAGTGATGAACTATATGAACCAACACAGAATTAAAGAAGATTTGTGGCCAATTTTTATGTTAAGATATAATCATATAACAGAACGATTCTTATAAGTGTGACGTATTGTTGTATAAAAATGACGAGTAAATAGTCAAATAAAAAAAGATTTCGATTAGAAGTTGGAATAATATGTTTGTCTTCGAAAAACAGTAATGACTTCCTCCAACATTTTGCGGGCTATATCCTACTTACTTGCATTCACTGGCTGTAAGTTTTGATCCATCTGAACAACTGGAGAATTTTCCCTAAACCAAAACAATAAAATGTGAGTTATCATAAATGTTCTCTTTAAGGCTTGACAAAAGTGAGGTACTCATGCAGTTTAATTAGAGTGCACTTGACCACAGAAGAAAAAAGCGAAATAAATGAGTTATCCAAACAAATACTTGATCAAACGTGCCAAAATTAAATGTATTCGGAATCACTTGTAGTCATAACTAGCATAAAACTGAGAAAAGAAAAGGGTGTTGTGATAACTATTTTTTCTACTTATAAAAGTAATACACATTATAGTTAAAAGGATGCTGAGTTAAGAGCCATCTATAAAGCGTCTATTGTAGAGTTAAGTAATAAAAAAGCATTTATTTAATACAAACTAGCAATGACCAGAAAATATCTATTAGAAAGTCATTTCTAGTATATATTAAGTAAATAATTATTAAAATGTTTCACAATGAACCTACTACAGAGTCTATTGGAATTAATAAAAAAGCGACAAAAGAAGGGCAGAACAAGAACAAAAAAGGAGCAGAAGTACTATTACACAAATACCGTCAAATTCAACCATGCTGTGGACTTATTCTTCTTATTGTTTTGAACAAAACAGTTTTTGTAAAACTATGGTAGTATTAGCTTTTTGGAATTGAACTACATTGTGACAATTTGAAAAAATGTCTTCACAAATAGAAAATCATTTACATTCCGAATGATTGAATAGCGAAAAATTTTATCTGTTATTTTAATACTCTATAGTTTATATTTGTTTATGGTTTGTATTAGAATAGAAATATTACAATTCCACGGACGTAGTGATATACCTATTGCTTAAGTTTTTCTTACATTCATTTTTTCAAATTGTTTTAACGGTATTTATACTTCAGAAATATATTAAATGCCTTTTACACTAACTAAAAAGCGACATTTAGTGATTAGGTGATAAATTGTTAGGTAGAGTAGATGGTATCGGTATCGATTCGGGTTAGGTTAGGTGCTGTGTGTGATAACGAAACAAACGGCAACGCAAAGGGTACAAATGGTGGTAAAACGTACTACCGCATTTTATATATTAAATCTAGAAAAATATTTTCAAAAAGTCAGATTTGGTCAGCAGGTAGATTTCAATGAACTGCTCATTGTTATTCTTAAATTGTTCCAGTTAAGTAAATGAGTATCTACCAAGTACTGATATGACAAAATACGACAGTAATATGTGCGAGGAGTTTAAGTAGAAGGGTTGTCAAATTAGCAAACCATAAGCTTACCAGCATCTACAGTGCCGACAGACAGGCAGACATTGTTCTGTGCGCGAAGATTACCAATCAACAGGCAGGCCGTCGAGGATCGTTCAGACTTTGAAACGGACGAGCCCCGACGGCTACAAGCCTGGACCAGAACATGCAGTTTTACCATCTGGATAAGCAAGAAGCGTTGGACTATTACCTTGAATAACTGCACTCCAATGACAGCAAACATGAACTGCAGTAGGTAGGTAACCAGCATAATATTGCCGATCGTCTTTATGGCTACTATAACGCATTTCACTACATACTAGCCATGAGGAGATTCGAAGGATGAAAGGATGAAACAAACAAAACACAGTGTCAGTTCAGTTTTAGAGAAGGCAAAAAGGGGCGTTGTGGTTGTGGTGGTCGGGGCACGCGCAGCCAGCCGGGAACGGTCAAATGCACCCAGGGTTGCGACTGCTGAGGAAGGGGGCCAACAGCCAGAAGGGCTGCGGCAGTGCCCTAGCCTATACAATAATTATGACTACAAGTGCAGAAGAGCACACAGCAGTGCACGAAAAACAGCGGCGGCGACGTAGCGAATATAGCAACAGCAGCTCATGCAGGTTAATGGTTTAATCTTTCTTTTTTTATTAAAATATACTTCAACGGGTTGTAAATCTCAGATAGATTGGAACTATTTTGGGCTTTCCCATAGGTACCATGTCAAAATTATTGCCAACAAATTCTGCTCGACGCGAACCGGTGCACTAGTGTTTTAGTGTTTTAATTGCTTTTTATATACATGCTATATGTCAAATGCAAATGTGATTATGTTCTTCTGATGAAGTGAATTACTGTTTCTGGTTTTATGGCAATAAAATTATGATTATTATTCGTATCGTACTTAGCAAATTGGCAAGTAAACTTCGTCACTGTAAAACAATAACTGATTAGTGAGCCTTAAGGCTTTTAAATATCCCTATAATGCAGCCCTTTTAATTGTTCACTGTATGTATGATGTCATTTTTACAGTTGTCGACACTTGGAATATTTTGTATAAGCTGTGCTAGCACGAAGGATGTCATGAAGTTACTGCATTCGCATTGTGTTTGGTTGTTGATGAAGATGTAGATTGGCAAAGTAGAAATCCCTTCGCAGAAAGCAATGTAAGCGGCTTTAGAAGTAGTTTTGTGCGAATTCAAACTGAGGACGCTTTCAACTTCCTGAAAATATTTGTCAAACAGAAGTACCAACGTGATAGATTGGATAAGTTCATTAATATAGTAGTAGTTGCATCCCCTCCAAGTTATATGCGGTGGCGTATTTGACATTTAAAAGCATTTGGCAGTGCAAAGAGTCATGAAAGAATTTGTGTCAAAATGATTTGTTTGGTGCAATGCATATGGAAAGGAATCTAGACGTGCTATAATAAAAGCTCTAATAGTTGATACCTAAACACTAGTAAACAATGGACGAAATTGAAATATTCAAATATGTGCTACACAAATGATTAACTTGATAGTGACAGTTGTTCTAGTTGAAGCTTTTACATGCTTTCTTTATTACTGAATGGGACTTATTTGGAGAAAGCTAGTGAAGAAGTGCTATTCACATTTCTACCTTACAAAAATTACCAAAAACAGAAATTCAATACAATACATTTATTGTTAATGTCCGCTTTAGAGAATTAACTTTTAGAAAAATCAGTTCTATTTTACATCAATGAATCAAGAATTCAGAGATTGCCCACGAAGAAGGGTAAATGTCTAACTTTAGGATTAGAAGTAGATATATTTTTTTATATTAATCTAAAAAAAGTTAGATTGCAATATAAACTTGTGTTTTTCATGTTTATTTGCAGTTTTTACTGATGCAAAACATTTAGTCGAAGTGGATAGGAACTGGAGAATTAGTCTATCAGTTTCAGCCCAGTTACCACGGGAAGGAATACAATCACGTTTTCGAACTAGCAAAAGTCCGTGAGGATGCCTATCGTAGTCGTCGGCGAAAAATTGGAAAGACAACTGCAACCACCCAGGAAAAGGATTCCAACACAATGGATATGAAGGCCGGAAAATGATTTCCTAACTGTAGATATCGGCCGTCAAAGCCTAAGTTATTTCATTCATGTAGTAAATATTCTAGAATAATTATTTATTAAATGAATTTTAATTAGTTTGTGATCTATTTAAAATTAGAATAAGGTTTGAAGTTCAGAAGGTGGACGAAAAATAGATTCAAAATTTTGTTGATTGTACAAAAACAAATGTTTAAATTTAAATCATCAATATTCTGAAGAAGAACGTAATACAATATTTGGAATTTTTGGAAATATGTTACATTAATGTGATGTGCATTCATATAACACATACACAAAAACAGCAAGTGTATATTGGAATGAGAAGTCCTTAAATAGTCACTTCAAATGAACATATTCACACCATTTAAATTATCATTGTTGATACATACTTACGGGTATTACAGAGTAGAGTAGATAATAGAGTTTCTTCTGAACTCTCCGTGGCAAAATATCTTTGGTCTTTAGGCAATTAGTTAGTAGAACTACGTTTACATGTTCATCATTTAAACTGTTTGAAATCCTGTGTTTGGTTCAAAACATTTTTGAATGCGATTAGTGACACGCAAATTTGGGGAAATGATCGAGCAGAAGTTGCCTACAAACGTTTCGACACTCTACGTACACAGTGGTATTGTTTTATGTAGTTGGCCGAGAAGACATTATGCTTAGTTAAATCTTAGTAGGAGTGAAAAAAAAATTGGCGGGACTCAACTAAACCTCAAAATATGGCGTTCAGGTCCCAGAGTCCATAAATGGTGCTGGTTAATATTGTGAGAATAGATACTGAGCGATAGAACGCTCACTAGTAGTAGTAGAGATATTATAGGGAAACCCATAGGTGCATTTGCTCATGAACAACAACGGACTGCAGGAGCCTACCTTGAACAATTGGACTCCTATTACAGCGAACATGAACTGAAGGAGGCAGGTGACCAGCACTATGTTGCCGATGGTCTTTACCGCAACTATCACACACTGGACAACATGCTAGAGACAAATATATGTGAGTTGTTACTTATTTACGGCCCCTGCCTCCACCACTCCCGTTTTTTCTAATTATACCCTTTGTTCTTAAGGAAATTCGGCAAGAAATAGCATAAAAAATGAAGAACTACTTTATATAGGACCAATATTACAATTCTTTAGGAGGTAATGCATTCTGAATTTTGCACTAAATAGCATGTTTTAGTAGCGTTAGTGTTAATTTATAACGTTGCCAATTATATGAATAACCGAAATGTGAGGTTTGATTTTAATTTGCCGTTTGGATTGGTTCGTAGACATTTTGAGAAATCAATTACTTTTTAAACGGTGATTTGTTCAATTCTGTGAAAATTATTTGAATTTTAAAACATGGCCTTAATGCTGCTTTGTTCTTGTTTAATAAAATATTTCATAGGTGTATCATTAATTAAAAAAAGTTTTGTTGTTGGTATTTTATTTTTGGCATTTTCACTATTTTCTTGTTTCTAAAATGCGAAAATTAGTAAAACTGATTAAAAGTAGAAATGTTTTCTCATAATTAATGAATAGTAGGTATGCTACCCGTTTTATAATGTGCATTAAGTATTAATGTATTTATTGGATCTCTTTTCTTTGGAAAAAATATTAGACAAATGAATACTTTCCTCTTTGAAAACATAATAGTTTTGTCTAAAACTGTATTCGAAATAATGAAATTCAATCAAGATATATCGGATAATTTTTTGCTTTTTTCATTACTGGAGTAAAAAATACGCATTTCCATTAAAAAAATATGATTTGAGCTGCAAATAACTTCGAAAGTTAAGATCAACTAGTCGAAAGCATACAACTTTTATCTAAGACTTTTCCCAGAATAATGAGACCCTATCGAAATATAACATTTCATTGTCATAAAATATATGACACAACCTTTATGTAGAAAACTACATGTAGGTTCCCATCCTACAACTTTGAAACACTGCTGATCTTTTAAAAGGCCTAACAAACTCTTCAATGGTTGTGCTGTCTAGGTCAGCTTAGGATATCCGTAAGGTGTAGTGGTAACTTTAAGGATACGGGCTGCACATCGATGTAATAGGATTGTATAGGTCAGGTTAAATATTTTTTTAAACTAGGTATATTTGCAGATTAAGTTCTGAAGTGATTAAGTTATGTGAGGTGAGTATTGCTCGTACGTAGATACATTTTCTGTACCTACATGTGCATTACGGTAGAAGTATAGAAGTGGGATAAAGTATGTCATGCCATGGTAGATTAAGTTCAAGCATGAATTTTGTTATTTGACTGTATATTAGTACATGCTAGTGTTACAAAAGTAGGGTTAGATATTTTTTTGAACTGTCATTGTAGTTTAAGTTCGGGAACGTAAGACTAATTTTTTTAAATATTTAAGTACCTATTTTTCTACTCAGAAAAATTAAATTATCCATCAATATTTACTGAACGTAAGAATGAAACAGAAGGCTGGTCCAATATAAAGTAGGTCCGACATTTTGCTTTTATCTTAATTCTTTATCATTATAAATACTTCTTGTCACATTTCGAGTGGGTACAAATAACAAATATCAATTTTTATAAATAAAAGATGATATGACAGACAAAAAAAATAAGGAACGAGTAATTAAAATGAGTAATGCCTTGCTGATGGAGTTGTTAGAGCCGAAGTATTTATAAGACAAGAAGAAATAAATGCTATTTATTGCTATTCCTCAGTTTAATGCGTCCACGTAGGGAATTTAATTACCTTCAGTCCCTTTGCTCTGTTAATAGCGCGTAATGGACGAAGAACTCGAAGAACTCGAAGTATTTTCACCACGGACATTGCACCTTGACTAAAAGTACATCAGTTTCCTTGCGTTAGTATTATATCGAAAGCAAAACTCAGACAACAATTATTATCTCACCTGTTGAATATTGACACCAACGATACGCATACTACAACCAAATCGAGCACGTTAAATGCTGACCTTAGAAAGGCACCGTCGTGAAGTATGCACCCATATGAAATTGTCTTAAGTATAAGTTCTATGGAAAATACAGCAGTGAAAAAGTAATCGAATAACTGCAGCACCTACAACAAAAATTATTATTATTTATTATATTGGTATTACTAACAACATTACAAAATAATCAAAGACAATCAGCAAACGTTAGCTGTGAAAATTTATTGCTAATTTCATTCATGAATCCACTTTTAGTAGCACATCTAGTGATGATCTGGTTATTGTTTATTATAGGGATGTATTTATTTATCTATAATTGTTTTTATTCTTATAAAGCTTTTATCATTTGTTGATGCATTTTATAGGAAAATTTAAAATCGACGCCAAAGTACCATTAGAGCTACGAATTATATTTCAAGTGGAAGCAACGTTTCGTATTTGGCGCTTTATGCTTTTTAGAATATTGACTCATCATCATCATCATCATAAGGTCATCAGTCCTAAGACTGATTGGACACGTACCTCCACTCTTTCCTATCCTGAGCTAAACTTCGCATTTCCCTAAAACTAGAACAGCCCACGTCCTATTTGCGAAGAGTAATCTAATCCAGGTCTATCTCTACCCCTCCTAACTCCTGTTTCTGCCTCTAATATGTCTCTGACTAGACCGTCATGCCTGAGAAGGTGTCCTACCAACCTATCTCGCCTATTTTTTATTGACTTCCATAGAGTCCTCTGGTCTCCTATTGTTTCCAATACCTCTTCATTTCTAACCTTTTCTACCCACCTTTTCGAACGCTTCTAACCTTTTCTTTTCCGCCGCTCCCACTGTCCATGTTTCACACCCGTAATATTGACTCAACTTACTAATTTTTATAATTCAATATATTTTAGCATATATAATGATCTAATTAGTACGTAATTTATTTCTTACAAACTAAAACAGGCGTAGTTTATGTTATTTTATTTTATTTTATTTTATTATATTATAATTATTACTGACAAATAATTCGATTTGTAGTAAAAAGAATGTATTTTGATTGGTTAATTATTTTAAGCTATAACTGTATATTACTGATAATATACCTCCTTACTGCATAATAAAAGGAGAGAGAAAAATGTGGTTTATTATTTCGTCCAACTATTAAATATTATTTTAGGGCAAACTAAACCTAATTTAAGCTAAATAAAATTGCACGAAATGCTTATTTAGTTGGTAATTTTTACAGTTTTAAAAAACATTTGCAGAGATTTCTGTCTTTTATAACATACAACAAACAAGCGTTTTCTCCTTTTCTCCAAATATATAGGTACGTAGGTGCATATTTAGAGCATTCCTCTCGGAATGAATTTAGATGTTGCAGTTAGTGCGCATCTGAAACCAAAATCAAAATATTGGTTTGCGCAACCTACAATTTTGGTCACTTGCAACGTATTGATTGACAAGTGCAAGCCAAAAGTGTTAATGCTTACCAACTAACGCATGAGAAATTGTCTTAAGGGGTGTCCACAACGATTTGTGATCGAACGCAGTTTTTTTTGTGTGTCAATTCACCAATCACGATAAGTTGTAGGTAACCGAAAAAAATTGTGAAAAAAAAAGTTCCGCTTTAACATCTACATATTAATTTAAAGAGAAAAATGTAAACGTGTAAAAGTGCTTTTCAATCGTTGCTGTTAAATGTTTACATTATTAAATATTAGTTTTCTGTTTATCGTTCGTATTATTGTATTGCATTTGGGTGTTGGTTGTATTGAAATGTTTGCCTGATATGCTCAGTCTTACTATAATTGTATCTTAAGCTACTTCTAACCACTCCCGTTGTTTGTTCTGTCTTACTTTCTTAGAAAGCTGTTTTTACGGTTAAAATAAAATTTTCTACTCAGATGCATGTGCAATGGTTTTCATCAAATAAATGCTATTCGCAGACTTTATATGTGTATCAAATATTAGAGAAATGAAAAGTAAGACTTCATTGTATTGTATTTATGGAGTAAATATCCCTATAGAGGTTAATGGTATTTATTATAGAATTCCAATTCTAAATAAAAAAGCAAATGATTTAATTGCAAACTATTTTTATTGTATACGGGGATACTGCATGCATTCAAATTCAGATAGTTGTTCTGTCTACCGGTTAAATATAAATTTATTGTGAATTAACATTATATCTTTCCATCTGAAAACCCTAGCTACAGATTTAATTTATTATTTATTTAGGAATAAATAATCTCAAAAGTAGTAGGTATAACCCTTTAACTAAAATTTATTTAATATTTGTGTAATGCAAATTCGTTGAATATTTTTTACTATTCGGTTTAAAATAAGTTTTTTACAACGGGGGGTTTTGCTCCAAACAGTTTTTTGTAACTCACCTTAACAATCATAAAGCAGATAATTATAGTTATCTATAGATAATTACGTAATTGAAATACTAAAAATAAAGCCAAATATTCAATAGTAGTAGGAAGAAACAGTTATCTTTAGTTAAATGAATACTGAAGCTATAAACCTATTTAGTCATTAATATTACAGATGCTGAAATGACCAGAAAAAAAAAACGTCACGTGGTATATGTAAGAGCGGATGCGTTCTCACTCAGTTGATTATCGCTGTCGCCAATAGTTATATCACAAAAATGAATGAATGAAGACCTTCCCTTACCAACAAATATTTCTTATATTCTATTCTTTCCTTTTCTTAACGTCCTTAAATGCTTCAATTTCAATTCAATTTCATTCACAAATATCTATAGTCTGCTACTTCAAAAATAGAAGGTGTTTCAAGCGGTAATCAATATTATAAAATTACATGCATTAAATTGTTATAAGCAAATAAAGTTACGTTGTAATTTTTGATTTGCATAACTTCCAGACTGCTACAAATCTATGGTCCATGAGACAGGGTCAAAAATTAAAAATGATTACTGTCAACCTAAAGCATCGAGAATAATTTCATCAGGCAGAGACCGACAAAGATTTTGTCTGCGAAAATTCTGGCTTTTGGGGATCTTATTGCAGTAATTTTTATCCAAACATGTAGATTTCATAGTGTTTTTTAAGTAATTTTACTATCATACTGGTCTTTAGATGAAATGAAAGATATTTTAATAAGAAAACCAAAAAAAAAATTATTAGATTCTTTTTAGTATGGACGTTAGAGTAACTTAAAAAATGATTTTTTTTATTCCGACACAGTAGAAAGCATTGACTATAAGGCACCTCTATAAAGTACTTAGTAAATATAAGCTCTTAATATTAATAGGATAATCTCCCTCATCATAGTTTTCCATTTTTACTTCAGTCACATATAAAAAAAACATGTCATTATTAATCGATCATTCAGCGAATCTCTATACACATTTCCGTAGGAAACTGAATGTTATTCCAAAAAGGTTTGTTATACTTTTTTTTATTAATCTAGCCATTTAAAAGATGTTCAAGGTCAAAATTTGAAAACATTTTGTCTTCTTTTCTAACTTACTGAAGAAATAAGTAAAACATATTTTTGTAGGAAATTGAACGTTCTACAAAAAAGTTCGCTTGTGCTTAATGGATTGTTCTAACCGTTTAGAAAATATTCGTATCCGAATTTCAATGCGTACTAATTTTGAATTTCATGAATTTTAAAAATATTCCTAAGAATTTGAGTTCATACCGATAGATTTTTTTTAATTATTTTTTTAGTTTCTTCACAGATGTAAGTATGCTTTACATTCGGGAGAAGAGAATACGTCAGTGTATTACTTAGAGGTAATTTATAATTTATTGCTGAGAAATAAGATTCTTATTTCAAATGCATTACTAAAAATATCGATATGAACTCAAATTTAAAAAAAAACTCCAAAAATTCAAGAATTAAATGTATACATTTGAAATACTTGTTAAGAAGCAATTAAAATCAGTAAGTACGAATTGGAATTCGACTACGAATATTTTCTAAACGGTTAGAGCAATCGATTAAGCAGATCTTTTTCGTAGAGCTTTCAATTTGCTACAAAAATATGTTTTACTTATTTGATAATAATTACTTTTAAGTTACAAAATTAAGAAGAAAAAAATTTTTTTTAACGAATTCTTCAAATTTGACCTTCAATATCTTTTAAATGGTTGGATTAATGAAAAAAATATAAGAAATCTTTTTCGTAAAGCGTTCAATTTTCTACGGAAACATTTAAGGAGATTTGCTGAGTAATCGATTGAGGTTTTTTCTATAAGACTAAAGTAAAAAAAGAAAAATATGATGAAAAGGATCTTCCTATTAATATTAAAAGCTTATAATTCGTAAGTACATTCTGGGGGTGTCTAGCAACCAATTTTTTTGTGTCGGAACTAAGAAAAAAGTAATCAACTTTTTTGACCTACCCTATATGGAGATGTACATCTACCCGTAATTATTATTATTAATTTTTTGACACATGACTCACCAAGTTGGTCGGTAAGAAAACGAACGATTCATGCATTAAACTTGCTCTATCAATTATTATTTTTACGTACTTACGTATAGTCTAACCAAACGCTTTTATAGGAATCTTCATGCTTTAAAAAAATTACCCTAGCCATTTTTTCCAAGGGAAAGTAAAAAGAAAGTCGAAAACTCTTTTCTTTTAAAAAAACTAATACGGCTTATTGGTATCCGTCAAATGGGCATACACCATCTGGTGGCAAAATTTATAACTCGAATGAGGGAAAAATTTACATAGGAACTGTACACGCAAATTGTAAAATTGTTTATTAAAATAATAAAACGCGTTAAAAAAGTAAAAATTTTTTTGATGATGGAGTCGACGAAGTTTTCTTCTAAAGTTAAATCAAATAAAAAGTTAATATGTTCAGTGAAAAGCTGCAATATCACTTCAGACATAGATCTTCACTCTTCACCTACATTAACTACTTTCCAATAAAAACTAACCGTATTATATATGTAAAAAATATATTCGGAAAATTAGAGAAAAAAGTAAACTAATAGAAGCTTGGATGAAAGCAGTAGGTATCAAAGAAGTGAATTCCGGAATAAAAATTTGTTCACGTCATTTTAATGCACATGATTATATTTCAGCAAGTATTTACCATCAGCCATAACCTTAATATTTAAAACTAGAATCATACTAAACTTATAAAGTGAGAAATTATTTATTCCTGTGTAATTGATTTAACACAATTCTAAGTATTTTGAGGTTCAGAACCTATCTGCTGCAACAAAGTTTGTAAAAAGTAGGCAGTAAACTTGACGAAATTTGAAGGCTAGCTTCCGGATTTGTTATTTCCGAATATTATAATGTGATTGGCATTAAAAACACGCTCACCTTCAACGAAATTTCCTTTCCGGGGCTTTGTGTCAGCCTAATCATTTATTGTGTCAATACTTATCATTTTATCGTAATGTAAAAACTTGGAAATTGCACGGTACACTATAGGAACTACAATAAATTTTCCCTAATCGGCGCCATGTTTTTAGGCTCCACCCATTTGACGGATCCCAATAGGAGCTCCGAAAAACATCGAAACAACTCAAAAGTAATATATTAAGCAGCGTGACGTCATAGCTTAACGTCGTTTTCACATCTAGCCTCTTTATTAACCTTATCAAATTTAAAAATATCTGAAGAAGTATATAGTTTAAGGATGATAAGATAATGAATACTTTTAATTAAGAGGAAAATTTCTAACTACACTAATATGGCCATAGTTTTCATATATATAAAATTATTTTATATAAATATTTCTGTAAAATCTATCGATAGAGCGCGCCACTTAAGTTATATCCATATATACGTATATCTCAAATAACAGCGCGTGGGGTCCATTAAGTACTGTTCAAACATGCGCACATGATATAAAAAATATTATTAGAACAAAGTCGATGGAAATGGCCGATTCATCCAAAATTGCTTATTTTAGCAAGTGTTATTATAATTTTGTGGCATTTAAATGAAATTTCTACCCGAATATTATTCTCTTTGGACTTTGCAGATTCCCTTAGTTATATTTATTTGCACAGCAAAAAGTACGCTGTAGATGTAAGTTACTTGATAATTAGGATTGGTTCGAAAATATGAACAAGAGACGTATGTCATAGAGTGAAATATATGAGTATGGAGCTAATTTATACATTTAGTGTAACAGCACCACAATATTTATAATCTGAGTTGCAATGACTTACCGAATTCATTTCTGACTTGGCATTGATGGGGTCTTCTAGAGCCAAAAGGGCAGATGATATCAAAATACAGGCTAGAATTATGTTTCCAAAAATACTATGATTGCACAGCCAGTGGCAAAACACACGAAACCTAAAAAAGGAATAAGAGATAAGTTTAAGTAGTAACACGATTATACATCCAATGAGAGGGTTTATGTTTCCACAGGGCCGAAAAACTAATCAACTTAATTGTAACCATCTACTACAAAAACAAAAAACGGATATGTTAAAATGGGTTTCTACTAATAAAAAATATCGGTGCGGGGTTCTACGTGTGCCTGGGATCAAGCAGGGCCATTCCAACAATAACCTACTGTCACCAGTCAATGTCACCTGTTTGTAGGAGAGAAAATGAAGAAAGACGACGCTGGTGGTATAGGCAATTTCTTCGAATTAGTTTTTACTTCCGACATACGTCTTGGCCTCGCACCTGTAGGCTCGTTGTCATCGTCTGTAACCACATGCAAACCACACCAATTAAATTATGTTAAAAATAAACATGGCTGCACAAAGTTATAGAATTTTTCAATTTGTTTAATCTTCTGCTAAAAAGCTTTCAATTTACATGTAAATAAAATAAATCGAGGTCGTTCTAATTGCCGAAAATCGCCAATAAAGCAAAGAAGTACCAAATGTTTTGTTGAAAACCTCATAAACAGAATGACTATGGGAAATCGCATAGAAATTAAATAATATAAATATAAATGATAGTTCAGGAAAAAAAATACACTTGTGTGAGTTTTACTGAAATCACACGGACAATGAATTTGTGTGAATTGGTTATCTGTTAAGATTTTTGTCACGAAAACTACTATTGCTTGGCCTATTGAGTAAGTGGACTTGAAAAGTTTCTCAACATGTTCACTTGATATTGTCTCGTATCTCATATGAGCATCTTGTTCTTGATATTGCCTTATTATTCAATAAAAGACAAAGCAAGATCGATATATTGTTGACTCTTGCGACAACCCTGTCACAGAGAATGACTTAGAAATTATTAGTTAACTAGAAATTCTTACAAAATTGTGAATGTCTCTAAAAATATTTTAATAAGTACCATATCATGAAGCAAAATGTGCAGTCGTACGGGAACGGTAAAAATGATGTTCTTTCTGACTTAGAATATCTCAATAGTAAGGTAAAGTATGCAGCACTAGGCAATATTACTTTGGATATCAACTAAACAGAAAATGGAATTTTTCATGTGTATGGTGATTACTTTATCGTGTTTATTATTAGAGAAGAATGGAAGCAAAGGAACCAAAGTCAGCATTCGAAAAAAAGTAGGTATGTTTTTCTAAAAATGATTTTATTAAATGTGGGGTCAAACAAAAGAAATTTTTAGTTGAATTTTATTGTCTAATTGCCATTAAGTACTAAGTGATATTTAGCAAAGGGGAGTTCTGGATTGATGCTCAAAATTATCTCATCTATTTTTAGCAGACCAATTCTAAGTTTAGAAAAAAGCATCCTGTATTACTAAAGACAGATAAAGGATGATTGAAAAGGCAAAAAGCATTAAAGGTTATGATTCAAGGAAGTTGAAGTTGAACCTGATTTATTTCGTCGAGGAAATTGATTAAGTTCAGCTTTTGGAGCTTCCTTTTCACCGAAAGGAAGTATAAAATGTAGCCGCAGGAATCAAATAATAACCTGCCATTTCTTCTTCGTGCAGCCATGTTCCGTTGATAGGATGTTTACCTGTTTTTATAAGAAAAAATAAAGAAGGCGCTGCCTTTTGGAATTGGTTTTATTTTCTTTTTGATGTTCATTTCTGATAATCTTCGCGGCCTGGCTGATACGGGTTTCAGATCCTCTGAAAATTATCGTAAAACGATTTGACCTAACAAAAACTGACACTTCAAAGTTATCTATTTGATTATGTACAAAAAGAACGAACGATAGAATTAATTATCCGAGAAAACTTATATATATATATAATATNTTATTTCTTGATGTAGTGAATCACGATATAATAATAATTTGAGAGTAATTAATAAATTCATTAGCATGTATTCTGCAAAAAACCCAACCAACGTGAGTTTGTTACACTTAAGGGCACAGCTTACTATAATATTCTCCTATTTTACAAACAAAAGAATAACAACAAGGACGGAGGTCATGCGTATATGTTGTAATCATATCCGACTTAATTTTGTCTTATTTAAATGTCTTCACTGCGAATTTATATCTCAAATTTTGTAATAATTACGTTGAATTGGTGTTCCTATTTTCCGTTATACGACTTTTCTAGTGCTTCGAAACAGCTAGTTTGCCTTTCGGTATCTTCAGGTATTTTAAACTCTAGAGTATATTGAGTGCTATTTACACTCTTCTTTGAAGTGTGTCGTTGGGGGGAGAATGTGACGTCTTATTGATTTATGATATATATA